TATTTCACGGTGGACAAGCCCAAGGTGGGAAACCCCCTTTTAGCTTTACCCAAATTTCTTCTGTGCCCTGTCAGGACGTAACGACCCACCGGAACCATCGAATCTTGGGGCCCTTCCTAAAAAGGTTGGGCATGAGAGAAAGCTGGAGCAAAGTCTTCATTGCCGAAGCGCGTGAGACTTCGCGTTAAAAAAGGAGTTCCGCATTTGCAAACATGTCATCATGAGAGTGTGGAGCATGCAGTTGAGCATAACAGTGAGAACTCAGCTCGTTCGGATAATTGTTCACCATGCGTAGCGTCGGCTCAAGCCTTCAACTCTTTTACCCTCGCGACTCCCCAGTTATCCAGCAATGGTCAAACAAATGAAGGATATAAAAGAGCTCCAAGGCCAGAAGTTTCTCAACTTTATTAGTTCTTCTGTTTTCCTGAACCTCCTTTCCGCTCGCAAATTGCACGCCAAATCTAAGGCAGAAGAAGCCAATGACAAAGGAGGAGGCGATGAAAAAGGACAGTGAGAACCAAGGTATAGCGACAAAGCTCGCGAAGGAAATGGCCGAAGAAGCCAAAAGGACCTTGCCAGTCTCCAGAATGGCAGTTTGGGCCGCAATGAGAGCCCGTGGCTACAAAGGCCCGCCTCCATGCCAAGACCTCCGCCGCTTTATGGAAGAGTAAAAAGAGCTTTGCATTCACAAGCATGTCATGGAGAAGGGTGAAATTGACAGTCTCGTGCATCCACCTGGTCAACAACTTGACAATCTAGATTGGTAGATTGTATCCCTGGCAGTACTTGCGGGTCTATTGGGGTCCCCCTATTCGGAAGTGCCATGTAGCCGTTGTTTGAATCTAGATAACGTGGCCGCGCATATGCCCATCACCTCATTCGCAACCTTGAATGGCATGATGGCAGTGTCATGGTGTCATGGGCAGGAAATTTTCTGCAACAAGTAGCACTATGGTAGTTTCCCTGAATGGGTGAACCCTAATATAGACGGCTAAATACTACAGTCCGTACTATGGGGAACCCAAAAATGGTCCCCCTGACTATGGGACACCCCCATACCAGAAACCCCAAACCCTAAACCCTAAACCCTGGGGTCTGGATGCAGTTAGTGAATTCATGGCCAAGTCTTGCTGAGTGCTGCGTGCATGTAGGATTGAAGTAGTTGGAAGTTGGCACTGCACGGAGCCTTTTTACGGTTCACGAGCTGCGGGAGCTAGTGAAGCCTGGGGGTGTGTTCCTGCTGCTGAGTCTCTCTCCGACCCCCTCACATGTAGGGATGCTGAACGGGACATCATTTGCCGTGCCTGCACTGCTTGTGCGATGCGCGTGTCAAAACCCTGAACCCTGAACCCTAAACCCTGAACCCTAAACCCTCAACCCTGAACCCTCAACCCTGAACCCTCAACCCAATATCAGAAAGAAACTAGGACTTCAAACCTCTTCTACGTCGAGCGGAACTTCTGGCTGTCGGTGCTGGCCCTTACGCTGTGGGTCACTTCTTGGAGACTGGAGGTGCAAAGTGGGTTTAGGGCTTTGGGTTTAGGGCTTTGGGTTTAGGGGTTAGGGTTTAGCGGTTTAGGGGTTATGGTTTGGGGCTTAGGGGTTATGGTTTGGGGTTTAGGAGTTTAGGGGTTTGCGTTTGGGGATTAGTAGTTTGGGGTTTGGGTTTGGGGTTTAGGGGTTGGGGTTTGGTGGCTTAGGGGTTTGGGTTTGGGGTTTAGGTGTAGGGGTTAGGGTTTGGGGTTTAGGGGTTTAGTTGTTCGGGTTTAAATAGTATTGCGGAGGCTGCCGTTCCTGTACACTCCGTATGGGCCGTGTGGGAACCCTGAAAACTGCAGAGAGGAAGAAATGGAATAATGTAAGCCCGAGATGAAAAACCCTCAGTTTAGGGGCCTTAATCTTAGGATCCTTTGAGAATCACCATTACGGGGAGGGGGTTTAATAATTAGGGATCTATATTGCCCCAAGGTACCTCGGTTGTAGAAACTGGTACAGGTGTTCCGGCCGACTTCGTCCACGCATGTTTGACGGCCCGGCATCTTGCTTCCTCTACACATGTTCCGCAAATGTGCGGATAATGTTCTAGAAAGGCACACTTATATGGTAGCGACCCCAATATGCTATAGTCCTTATTGTTGGGATCCCCCACAGAGGCACCCTTTATTTTGGGAAATTCCCATGTAGGTAACATAGGGGTTCATTTCCTTTTTCCACGCTAAAATGGTAGAACCCGGGTGTAATGAACCCCTAAACCCCAAACCCTAAGATTCGATTCAGGAACCTAACCAGCCAGGTTCTCTTCAGACAGCGTCCTGTGAGACCAGCCTTCGCGCTGAACTTGAGGCCGCTTGGTTGAGGGGGATGTGAGGATGTACAGTCCCCCTTAAGCAGGAAGAATATGTCTTTGGGTATATTACAACAAGACCCCCATATACCCCATATTCTATCTACTTAAGGGGGACTATAGTGTGTCACCTGCTTTTTGAGAGGGGTTCCGTGTTTCCCTCCGTGTGGCAGCTGACTTTACACCCCCACCTATGGATTTCTCAAGCCTCTGAACGCTTTTTTACACCCTGTGCACTGGGTAAGTATGGGGGTGCCCCACTGTCCTTGTTTGGGAAGCCATCTGGGGTCACAGGGAAGTTTAACAGATCTTTTTATTGGGCAATGATTTCGTGTACTGAACTTCGGGCTCCGGAAGCAGTCAGATCGCCCAGCAGCTGTGCCCGTGTGCCGGGCCTTGCTGGGAAATCTTTCGCTGAAGTGCTGAGTTGACTCACGTTGATCTTCTTCATAACTATGGCTGTTGCCGTTGCATGTTGCTCATCCGCTGCTAGCAGTGTCGCATCATTGTCAGCCATGTTCTTTCTTTTAAGCACCGTGAAGTCCCTCGAGTATATTGTAGCCTGTGAAGCTACACGGTGCAAGTAGCCTAAACCTGCCTCATAATGGACAAAGCATCGAAACAACTTGGCAAGTTGTAGAAGCGGCAATGTGCTGAGGCCTTCCAAGGGATTGTACATGGCGACTCTCGGCAGAAATGGTATTCGATAGCCGTACCGTCAGTAGTTATGAAGGTAGCAACCACAATGACAACATGAAGTAGTGTCTTGCCACCACAACAATAATGATGATGATGATGATGATGATGACGATCTGTTGCTGCCAGATGGAGGCCGAGTCCGCTACCCAAGTCACAGAACTGCAGCTCACTTCGGCATGTTGTGAAGTAGCATTTCAGTATATAGTCCAAGTAGATAGAACATGGGGTATATGGGGATCTTCTTATAATATACCCAAAGCCATATTCTATCTACTTAAGGAGGACTATAGTCCCTAAACCCCTAAACCCTAAACCCTAAATGGTAGTTTCCGTTTTCTTTTCCATTATCCCAATATATCCCCCCTATAACCTTAAATCTAGCGAGTGTAATGTGGGTTCTCCCGGGGCAAAGGTTGAGTTTCGTGCGGGGTTACTTGTGGCATTTTTGTTGCGGCCCTCATGGGTTGGAAGCTGCTTGATGGATATGAGCAAAACTCTAAACTCCTTAAATGGGGTTATGTAGGGGATTAAGTAGGGGACTATCTAATTTCACTTGAGACATCAGATTTTAAGAGTTATAGTGAGTGTTGGACTATTAGATATAGGGTTTATTAAAGGGGATTCTAGGAGTTTAGACTATATCTTGGACAGGTAGTTCCCAAAATTGCGGTCCCATTTTAACAGTAGTCTATTGCCCAAAAGGGCCCACAATTTCAAAAACAACCCATAAACCTTAAACCCTAAACCGCGTGGCTTCTTAGCCTTCAAACTCAGGATCGGAATAGCCGCGCTACTGCTGGCAGACTTGCCGTTGCTGGGTTGAGTTTGGGAGTTTTGGATTAGTATATTATAGCATATTACAGTGCATTATAGTATATCCTAGTATATTATAGTATTTTTTAGGAAGTTGTAGTATATTATAGTATATTATAGTGTATTATAGTATATTACTGGTTACCGTGTTGAGGGGCATTCCACATGTCCCAGGTTTGGATCGTACAAACGCCGGATTGGGTTAGCTGCAGGGTTTGCATGGGCTGTGCATAACCTTCTAGGACCCATGATTCGCGTGAAGGCAGCAAGTACACTGCAATGCATTTAGAATCGCATTGTTCTTAAACAGACCTGTGCGTTCGGCCTCTGATTTGGGTAAAGATCCCGTGAATAGTACCAGATCAGTTTCGAACAACAAGAGCAAAGGATATATTATAATTTATGACAATATACGACAATTTACTACAATGTACGATAATATGCTATGACAATTTCTAATTCACTATAACATATGATAATATGCTATCATAGCATGGATATATCCTTTTGCAAGAAGCTACACGGCACATGAAATCGCTCAGGGGGAGCTGATCTATCAAGGTGAACAACAGTAACCCCCTTCCCCTAATATTAGATCCCCCTACCCCTCCCAAATATCAAATACTCCATTATGGAATATTAAGCCCTCCCACCCCTCAGGTTAAGGGTTTAGGCCGAAAATTAAATACTCCCCACTCTGGTATATTGTAATATATTGGGAGTATTCAAGATTAGAGGGGGTGGGGGTTTAATATTTGGAGGAGGGCATTGATGAGTGCACCCACAGGATTTCTGAAAGTGATGTCTAGTCCCCCCTAAGTAGATGGATTATGGGGTATATGGGGATCTTATGATAACGTACCCAAAGCCATATTCTATCTACTTGAGGGGGCCTACATTCCCGTAGTTTCCATTTCATGTTCCATTTTCTTTTCCGTTTGATTCTCCATTATAGGGGGATAATAGGGGGTTATAACCCCATTGTATCTACTGAAGGGGGACTATAACGGTGCTGCAACAGTTAACGCAATCTTGTCTATATCTGTGTCGGAAGCAAACCGTGGCTGCCAGAAGCAGTTTGAGCATCGCTCTTCCGCGTGCAACATGCCACAGAATGTTGTTTTGTCGAGGAGCTGTGCTTTATGCTATGGGTTTTCCAAGCCCCTTCAGTAGATACAATGTGGGTTATAATCCCCTATTATCCCCCTATAATGGAGAATCAAATGGAAAAGAACATGGAAAATGAAATGGAAACTAGGGGAATGTAGGTTGCACAAGGACTCCTTTGGAATTCCAGGGCATCCTTTTCGACTCTCTTATACAATGTGGTTATTATCCCCCTATTATCCCCCTATAATGGAGAATCAAATGGAAAAGAAAATGGAAAATGAAATGGGAACTAGGGGAGTATGCCCTCCACTAGGACTCCTTTGGAATTCCAGCATCCTTTTCAACTCCTTTCTCAAAATCAGAGTCTTCGTGGATCCTGTTATTCGTAGTGGGGACATGTGGCGGCTCTAAACCCTAAACCCAGCCGAGCCGCCTGAGGCTCTGCCGCCTGAACTACCAATTTCAGATTCAGTCCTACGTCTCGCCGGGCAAGGACCGGTTTATAGGATATGGTAGTATGTTATAGTATACTTTAGTATATTATAGGATCTTGTAGTATATTAGAGTATATTAAAGTATGATATAGTATATTATAGCATATTTTAGAGAAGGTACAGCATGGAATTCAACCCAGCATCAGTGTGCGTTGTGTGTGCATTTGATAGTTTCCCCAAGTAAGGGACCCCAATATAGACCCCAAAATACTACAGTCCTTTTTATGGGGCCCCGTAAAAAAGGTACCCTTGATTTTGGGATACCCCCACTTACTCTGGGCTTACTGACGAACGGTGCTCTGAGTTGCACCGGCATCCAGGCTTCAATCTTTACGTGTCATAGGCTGTAGTGTAATGACTCTGCTAATGCTATAGTATACCATAGTATATTACAACATATTGCAATATTCTATAATCATATATTACAAAATATTCCAATATACTAAATATAGTATAAAATAGCATGATATACTATACACAATTATTATATATTATAATATACTATATTGGTCAGCTGCACAACTTGTTTGTGCTGAATCTACAGGCCAGGCTGCAGGCCTCCGATGCCGCAGCCCAGTGCAGCAACATTTACGCGAGCAGCGCTGACGGGTCGCGCCTCGGTCTGCACTGGACTGGGTTGCTGTTAAGGAACTGTGCGGTTGAGGAACTTGAATTAAGTTACCATAGTGGGTATACATAGTACGTAATATGGTTTCCCCAATAAAGTAACTTGAATTAAATTCCTTAACAGCAACCCAGTGGAGCTGGGCTGAATACCAGAAACTGGATACCGTATATAGTAGTGATGGGGAGGCAGGGCGAACCTTCAACTTGAATCATCGCGACACCTTAACCTGCGGATTTGCCTGTAGAGGTGTAGACTTCAGCAGTCTAGCTTCAGGTTCTGGACACGCATTATGAGTCTTGATGTGTGGGCAGGGATGAAGGTGGGCACATTTATGTCAATGGCTTCCAAATCGGAAGCCCCTATCCCACGCGATGAGAGATGAGCCAGGTGCAGGACGTTTTGCGATGAAGTGCGGCTTCTGTCGGAGGAACGACTCTCTTCCGTGATGTTTGTGCCTCGGCAGCAAGCTGGAAATCCGGGGGCGAATAGAACGACACATGTCTTGGCTCGGTGGATAGGAGTCAAGTTATTCACATCATGGTAGAGTCGTGAAAGACATTTTGAAGAATTTGTTCGAGGAGCATGAAGGGAGCAAAGCAATTAGACCAGGACCTAGACTGAGACTTGTTTTGGCTAAAAGTTCTCGGAGCTAATCGTGCTACTGACCCTTGATGTCGCACAGTAGGCGTAGCTTTTTTTGCAGATGCATTAGCTGGACCCCCCCACCCTGTAATAGTGACTTTCAGGGAGTATATTAGGTCCTATTGTATTCCTATGATACCAATTACAGGGTGGGGGGTCCTCCTAATACAAAGGCCCGGGGCAGTTTCCATCATGACTTGAGCCAAGGCCAGGAAATGGCATGTCCTTGGCCGATGGGCTGCAGAGGCCTTGAGATGATTGGCAGATGAAGGTATTCTAATATGGGAATATATGAGCTATAGTCTAAACTCCTTAAAGGGGGGATATACAGGGGATTATTTTGGTGACTACTGTAGGGGTTATTAGGGGGGATACTAGGAGTTTAGACAGTAGCTCATATTGGAATAATGGAAAATAGAATGGAAATTACTAAATTATGATATTGGTATGGGCGGCTGGGGAATTGGCTCAGCGAATTCTTCCCGTGTGTTGAAAGCCACGTAACTTGAGTTCCTCTCTGAAGGTAGCGAAGTTAGGTGTGCGAGCACCATGCGTTACTGAGACTGGAAGAGGCTGATTGCCCACATGGAAGCATCGCAGGTGTTCGACATGGCACGAGATGTACAGCAGGGCCCCAGCCATGTGAACCAACTCTTTGAGAAGAAGACCTGCGCAGACGTCCTGACGCTTAGATGACTTGTGCTCAAATCATTGGAGGAAATCAAGATTGAACTGGATGGTGCCTAATTTTTCTAGTGCTTTGGATAGGCAACTAGTTTAATTCTTCAGAATCTCCTTCGCGTACTCCCTCAACCGTGAAGGGGGTCCCCATAGTCCCCAAAGGCACACCCGTTCTTAATGAATCTCCAAGTCCTGTTAAGGAAGAGCGTTGACAAGAGCAACGACATGGTAAATGCCTTCTGCCTCGTTCTCGCAGCTGTCGCCGTGGTGGTAGCGTTGCATGTCGGCATCTGCTTTGATTGGCATATGTACAGAGACACATTCTGGAGTGCAAGCCTTCAGAAATTCAATCAGGTTTGTGAGACCCCGCGTTCTTCAGATCTTCGTGACAAGCCAGTGAAAAGTCAGGGTCCAGCATCTGGCCAACAGCTTTCTGGTTTGTGTTTTCCCGCTCAGGTACCAGGTAAGAAATTGAAGACACACTTGCAAGCGAAAGCACCCATACCACTCCTATGTCTGCTATGTTACCAAGTAAAGTAGACATCCACTGAGAATGGCAGATGACTTGCTTGCAGTATCTTGCAGTCTGGAGTGTGGCAGAGCGCAGTGTGTGGATGATTGTGCTGTCAGGTTTGCGGCATTTTCGAAAGTCTTTGGGGACATGACTGAGACAAACCTGCATACTGATTGATGTCGGTGCGCATGTGGGGTCGGTATGAAATACGATAATTTTCGAGGCAGTATGACTCAGACTGCTGCAGCAGTGATCAGTAGCCGTCATGCCAGTGTGATGAGGCACGTGCGCAGACAGAGAGTAGCTCGTCCAGTCTCACCCGCAACCATTCGTACAGCAAGATTTCCCAGTGCGTAGGCATAGACAGCCGGCAACGTGGCCGCGTTGCGTTGGAAGTTCGCTTCGATGGTCCCTGCATGGACGAGGGAGCCATCAGAGCATGCGCAAGGAACAGGTGCTGGCTAGGTGCACTAGGCCAGTGAGCGCAAATTATTTAAGCAGACGCGCTTGGCGTTGCACATGTCGGACAGAAACATGTGAAAGATCATTGTGCCTTTCAAGTCAGCACGGACATTGCGCTCCACTCATACCAGTGAACGTGCGAGCTTTTGCTGCCTTGCTGCTGCACCAGTGAGATTGAGCATCATCATTGTAAGAATTCTAGATCTCTATATATTTCTCTCGTTTGGTACACAAAAACGAAAAACCTAAACCCTAAACCCTAATTGAGTTGCTTAAGGTGTCATTCCAGCTTCTACCTCGCCCCCGAGCCAGCCGTTTGAGGCCGGGGCTGTGTGCAGAACGGACCCACAGGGCTGCTTGAACTTGTATCCTTTTGATATCCAAGGCATTAGGGTTTAGGGTTTGGGGTTTTGGGTTTAGGGTGTAGCTTACTGGATGTTTGTTGAGGAGCTACGCAGCGCATGCAGATCTCCAGACTTCTGGTTTGGTACTTGTCTTGCTCAATTTTGGGGTTTTTATTGGAGTGATATTGGGGTAACCTGCGGAAGCAGCCCAATTTAATCAAGCAACAGGGAAGCCTTCATTCAAGGATCCGGGTCTCTGAGAAAGCGCAAGAGCAGAGCTTGCCAACAGGCTTTCCGAGGAAGCGGCTTTGCAACGTCTCGAACTCAGATCTGACACGTGTGAAGAAGCATTCGCCTCTGCCTCCCACCCTCTAGAGCAGTGCCGGCTGACTCTTGGGACTTCAAAGCAGCTTCCATTTTCTTTTCCATTGTCCCAATACTACCACAATATACTATATATAGTAGCTTATATATTCTTTTCCATAATCCCAAGATTGCTAGCTGCTAATGACCCCAGGCTATTGGACTTCACTGTCACAGTCAACTGCATCAAGTCTTGCAGTACGGAGATGCCACTCCTGGTAAGGACTCGGCACCCTTATTCCCGAGCCCCTGTGTGTTCTGAAAATCCTGCCACGCCATCCCTCCACATTTGTGTTCGAAACTCCTGGAAGAAACCTCAGATATGGTAGTTTCTCAAAATGAGGGGACCCTAATATAGACCCCAATATACTATAATACTTATTATGGGGAACCCCAATTACCCCTAATTTTGGGAAACCCCCATATGTCATTTGGCGTGACTGGAAGGCAACCCAGTGCTGGAAGGGAACCCCGAAGAGGCCTTGCAGCCTGTGTGGACTGCAAAAGGTTCCCTGTTCATTCATTCCATTGGCAGCAGGACAGAGCTTAGCCTTCCAGGAGACATGTATGCTGCATATGAGCTATAGTCTAAACTCCTTAAAAGAAATTATAGTAGGGACTGTTATATGGGTTATTAAGGGGGATCCTAGTGGTTTTAGACTATCCTGCGCAATATCACCAGGCAGCTGTGCTGCTACACTCGCCCTGTTGGCTGATCCACCTTTCAATTCCCAATTTGCAGGTTAGCACGGGCAGCATGGTGAGTCCCAGCTTGAAATGCCTTGTAGAGGTCCGGCGACGAACATCCGAGACTCCCTGACGGGTCCAGTCATGGGTCGCCGAAGTGCCTCCCGGCAGCTTAAACAAGAAATTGCGGATGTTTTTAGCACAGGCTTATAAGAAGCCTCGAATTTCGGACACTAGTATCGAAAGCCCTCGCATTTAAGTGCAGTACACTGAAGCAGTAGTTAGTAGCCGGCAGAACAGTTCCTGGGCCAAAATCTGATTAATGATGTGTGTTGGCATACCCACAAAAATTAACCATCACATCTCCACAGACGCACCATTCTGCTCTGAAGGATAGCCCTGCGCCAGAGTGCCTCCGGCCTGTTTACTTGCTGCCGATAGTAAATAACACGCATGGCTGTCCCCTTCCTTTCCTTTCCTTTCCATGAGTTTGTAGGGAATGAAGGAAGATATCCCCACAATCCCTTTACACTATATTCCCCTATTCCCGGTTGTACCCTAATGTGCTGTCTTCACAAAGCTGATAGGCCGTTAGCTCTAAACCCTAAAGCCCAGGTAAGGACAAGCCCAAGCTGAGCCAGGTGATATCCGATGTCTCCTGCAACCTCCCAACTGTCACTAGTGATGGAAGATTTTTCACCACCTGGGGCCTCCATTTTTTTTGCAATTCCAGGGACTTCAAGGACTTAAGGTAGTGCAAGATTGCCTCCATCAATTAGGAGAGACACGGCTGATGTTTTGTAATATGCCTACCTAGCAAGAAGCCAGGTACGGCTTCACCCTTCACTAGACGCCCAAGAGATTTGCTTTGCCGTAGTTTGCTGTATCTTTCCATCAACAACATACTTCAACTGAGCTTCTGCTGTGTTACTTTCAAGATCGCCTCATGTGGGTAGCAAGACATTTGAAATCTGCCAGGTCCAGCATGCCCTGCGCTCAGAAGAAGCTGAGTACCAAAATACTCCCGATACCACACCTAGGGCTCCTGTTTTCTTGAAAGTTGGGATTACGTAGGGGTTATATAGCGGTAATATAGGGATTACATGTCAGATGTTTGAGCTGTAGTTATTAAACTCAGTAGTTGACATGGGCCCCTGTGTTCTTGAAAGTTGCGATTGTCACCAGACTCGAGCGCTTTTTAGTGCCCAAGTTCTGCCTGCAAAGAAGCTCCCTCCCAACCCCTAAACCCTAAACCCTAAACCCTAAACCCTAACGCTGTAACTTCAGGGATGCCAAGCCAGCCAGATCGAGTTCCTTGGAGCCGCCACCCAAAGGCGCCTTGAAGAGTATAAGGGGGTAATCAAGGGATATCTGGGTGTCCCAGGGGTCCACATATAATAAGGATTAGTGTCTTTTGGGGTTATATTGGGCTCCCCCTATTCAGGCAAACTAGCATATAATAACTCCATACCCTAAACCTCAATTATAGACCCTGAACCCTAAACAATACAGTGCCTAGCTTGGCTATCCCTCAGCTAGCCTGGAACTCGCTGCTGGGAGGTGGGTCGTCCCGAAGGAACGAGTCAGGAACTCAGGTATTGACTGCAGCATAGGGTTCAGGGTTCAGGGTTTAGGGATTTAGGGTTTAGGGCTCAGGGTACAGGGCGTAGGGTTTTGATGGCTGCACGGAAGTTGAACATACATGGTTGGGAAAGCCGGAGCAGGCTACAGCGACCATTGCAGGGATGATTACGGGAGTATGTAGGTACTTAAGCCATGGTGATCTGTTCCCCTGTCCCCAGCCAAGTGCGACTAGAATTTCCAAGAATAGGGGTTTCTCTTAGCTACTTCCAGCTCAACAGAGGGGGCTCGCGTTTCCGGAGCCAAACCTAAACCCTAAACCCTCTCTACCTATACATATATATATAAGCTTTAATAGGGCTGTGCATTCATTTTGCGACTTTAGGGTTTTAGATTTTAGGTTTTGGGTTTCGGATTTTGGGTTTTGGGCGTTGCCTTTTTTTTTTGATTTTGGGTGTGGGGTTTGGGGTGTTTGGGTGGGAGCCGGCGGCCCTGGAGGCTGGTCCTGGAAGTTTCTGGGCGCCAGGAACTTGAAGGGTCCTACCCTAAACCCTAAACCCTAAACCCTGAACCCTATCCCTGAACCCTAAACCCTAAACCCTAAACCCGAAACCCTAAACCCTAAACCCTAAACCCTAATTGAAGGGTCCTTGAGGAGGCTCGTTGGCGCCTGAGCCCTGGAGGTTCTGGAGGCCCTTGGAGGTCTTTGGGCGGCCTTGGGTTTGGAGGCCCAGGGTTTAGGGGTTTTGGACTCCCCTGGAGGTTGCTGGAGGCCCGCCTGCGGCGGGACCCTCAAAAAGTATTAATATCAATTCGAGACGCTGGCAATGGAGTTTGTTTTTAGTTAAAACTAAGCTTTCAATTTGAATGGGTCTGTTGCCTGTTGGGACTTTTCTAGAGCCCTCAGAAACGTTCAATGTTAGAAGCAAATCTCGATATGGGACATGTAGGGGACGCGAGCAGGTGGCGAGAGAAGGAAGAAAGACGGGTAAACATGTTAAATGAAAAGGGACTCTGGGAGGGTGGGGTGATACTAAACACGTGTAGTGATACAAGAAGCCTTGCTAGCTTCCACCTCCAGCTAATCGTGAACCTTAAGCCTTAAACCTAAAATCCTCCCTAAATCCTAAACCCCTAAACCCTAAACCCTAAAACCCTAAAAGGTGGTTTTGGCATACTGCCTCAGGTCGCCTTCCACCAGACCGGAGTCCCCGATGCGTTCAGGCCTGCGAATGTGGGGAAAGTGAGAATATTTGTTGAGATGGAGGTTTAGTGTTTAGGGTTTGGGGTTTTGGGTTTTAGGGTGTAGGGTTTGGGGTTTAAGGGTTTAGGGTTGGGGTTCAGGGCTTTAGGGTTTGGGGTTTAGGGTTTAAGGGTTGGGGGTTTAGGGTTACGGGTTGACTCAAGATGGAGTTACCCTAAGGTTTTTCGAAGCGAGCTAGTGAATAGAGTAGCAGTATCCTGGGTACCCTAGGGATATATGTTGATAAGCAGGGGATCATGGGCATCCCCATGTCGTACTATATAATGTTGTTTTCATAGGTTAGGTGCAGGGTACGTCATGGACGGTGGTTTGGCGACACGTAAGTGGGGGTATCTTAGGCAGCTATTTCGCTTTGCAGATACACACGTCAGCAAGAAACATGTGCTGCTTGCTTTGTCAAGTGCTGCCCACAGACATCCCGTTTCTCGGAACCACCTTCATAACCCTAAGCCCTAGAACCTTGAGCCCTACGCCCT